AGCGCAACTCACTCTTTTGCATCCGCGCACTCGCAGCAAGAAACCATTGACGGTATCGTCATCACATCAACCCCGATGCCCGCCCGCCATCGTCCACCATGGAGTTCATGACCGCCCTCCGGGGCTCCTTCGACGACCAGAAACCCTCCCTCTTCGAGCTCATCTCCGAACAGCAGCTCAACTCCCTCCTCCCGCCCACCATCCGATACCTCCTCACCATCGCCACCCAACGATACCCGCGCTACCTCCTGCGCCCCCTCAACTCCTTCGATGAGCTCTACGCCCTGCTCATGCTCCTCGTCGAGCGCCACTACCTAAAGACCCGCGGCGGCAGCTTCACCGAGAACTTTTACGGCCTGAAGCGCGAAAAGGCCCTGCACGCCGAGATCCCGCGCGCCAGCGCTTCCGCGCCCGCCGTCGTAAGGGACACCCTCAAGCTCGGCACGAAGGACATATGGATGAACCTCGCCGTCGCCGTCGGCGTCCCCTACCTGCAGAGGAAGCTCGATGAGGGTTACGAGGTGAACGCGCCGCGGGCGCTCCTCGGCGCCGCCTACACCCAGATGCCGCCCAACCCGACGCTGAAGCAGCGCTTCCTGCACTACTACCGTTGGTTTCTGCGCAACATCTACCCGAGCGTCAACGCGGCCTACTACTTTGCGCTGCTGTCGTTCAACCTAGCCTACCTGTTTGACAACAGCAAGTACCATAACCCGTTCCTGTGGCTCATCGGCACCCGCATGAGGAGGATGACGGGCGCCGATTACCAGGCCATTGACGCGCTCACGAGCGGCGGCGGTAAGGCGAACGGAAAGCCCGGCGCGCCGCCCGGGTGGCGATCCCTCTTCTCCCCGCGCGAGATGGGCCCGCGTCTGCTCTCCAGCCTATCTCTGCTGCTGCCGATGAGCATCTTTGCGCTCAAGTTCCTCGAGTGGTGGCACGCGTCCGACTTCGCCAAGCAGCTGTCGCGCAAGGCGTCCGAGACGCTGGATCTCCCGCCCCCTGTGGTCTCGGGCTTGGGGGCCGGCAAGGGAGGAGCTGGAAGAGCAGGTGCTGCCGCGACGGGCAAGGGCAAGGAGAAGGCGGTTAGCGGCGACGACGAGTCGGCGGACGCGGCTGTTCCGGCTGCTGAGACGGCGCCTATCGCGACACCTTCGCTGTTGCCCATCTATACGGTGACTGCGCCTGAGGACTCGGCGCTGTGCCCTATTTGCGAGGATCCCATCGTTACACCGACGGCATGTCAGACGGGTATTGTGTACTGCTACACGTGTATTCACCGGTGGGTGGAGGGTTTGCATCCGATGCAGGAAGATTTCATGGGAGACAAGGAAGGCAAGTGGGAGAGCGGACAGGGGCGGTGTGCGGTCACTGGCCGACGCGTCCTGGGAGGCACGGAGGGGTTGAGGAGGATCATGGTGTAAGACTAGTACAACTGAGAGAATTTGGGTCAGTAGTTTACCGACGACGAGAAAGAGTCGGTGGTGAGTGTTGATGGAAGGGATTGCTTAAGGGTGGTGGGCATAAGCCGAAAAAGGCCATGGCGTTTGGGTCACGAACTTGTCCTGTTTTGTTTCCGCTTGTATGCCATATCCACCATATGAATAATATACCCACTCACGATCTAGAGCATCGTTGTCCTTTTTTTTCTGTCTTTTCTTTTCTGGCTCTGAGAACTTCGGAGGTGGAAACCCGGTGGAAGCAAGGGTCGGACATGAAGAATGCGGGACTAGGAATACCTCCACCGCTTGGAATGGAGGGGAGGATGTCTCACATCGGGGCGGTGGTCCGGCCCCACGCCCCCCCGATCCCTTTCTACGTGATCTGGCATTCGATTCTACTTCCCTATTGGGTTTCACGTTTTTCGCTCACTGTTGGTCGGGCCTCTCTTCTTCGAACGGTTTTGCTTCCACTTCTTTTTTTGCCTGGGCGGCGCACCTCCTGTCTCGCCGTCAGGATGTCTCGGTCTGCCGAGTCTGCTACGCTCGGAGGGTTTATGGATGGGCAAAGAGGAAGGCAGCTTTTTGAGCGAAGCTAGCGATGCTTGCATTCCTCTTGTTTCCCTTATTTCTCTCGTCAAACTTGGTCTGCTTCCTTGGCTTTCTCTTTTTGGAGTGGATATTGCGTGGTTGGGTTTCTCGAAATGGAATACCTGCGTATTGGATTCTCTGTCGACTTCCACCAGACCGGTCTAGCTTTCTTATCCTTTTTGGTTCTCTGTTCTTCCAACTAGGCGTAGACCCATATGAGCAAGTGCTTCTTGTGGAGAAGCAAACGTCACCTGTTCTAAATAGGTTTTCTTGAGGAGGCTGGGAGGGAGATGGATCTCGAGCATCCCCAAGGCTTGGGTCCTTGGACAGGTCCTTGGCCAGACGGCGGTCGAGCAGTGGCATTCCTGACCGGGAGTGAGGGCTGCGATGATGGTGGTGTGGTTCTCATGTGGAGGAGGGCAGACTTGGAAATCCATTCGTCGAGGTTCGCATCTTTGGTGATTCTGTACCTGGATCAGTCGCAAGGGAGATGTTGACGAGCAAAGGGTTATAAGAAAACTACACCCCTCTCTCTGAAGGGTCTCATGACATCTGGTTTCTGTTCGATCATCGAAACTGAGTCGTGGCGTTTGCTCTCTCACTCTCCTTCTCTCTATCTCTCTCTCTCTCTGTTTATCTGAATCAACCAGAGTCTCTCGTTGACGTGTGTATGCCCATCGGTTTCCGATCATCGATCGCTGACGTCTCTCGCTCTATTCAAGTTGTTTTAGGGTGGTCATTCATACACTCTCTTGAATCTCTTAACACGACAAAGGGCACGGCAAAAAAGCCTCGAGAAGACGCGAACAAAGGTGTAAAGGAACATTAGGAGAGGAAGAGGAAGAGGAAGAGAAGCCAACATGGCGTACAGCTTATCGCAGTCGTACTTCGGCGCGAACTTGATTTCAGACTTCAACTTTATCAACTATGCCGACCCATCCAACGGCTTCGTGAGGTACGTCCTTTCCTCCTCCTACTCACAGATATCGGCCTAGACCCTGTTATTAGTCGAGCGGAGTTGGACGTGGATGAACTAACGGCAAAGATAGGTACCAAAGCCAGTCCGACGCCCTTGCAAAGGGCCTCTACTTCATCGACCCGGACACGCAGGCCGTGACGCTGGGCGTGGATAACAAGAACACGTACGGCCTCAGCGACGGACGGCCGAGTTTGAGGCTAGAGAGCAAGAGGCAGTATAACCATGGACTGTTTATCGGTGATTTCGCGCACATGCCGCCGTCGGTTTGTGGGTTGTGGCCTGCGTGTAAGTTTGGATCTCTCCTTTTTGGGTCCCTTCATCTTGCCGAGTCTTGGAGGGGATTAGGCCCGTTGAAGACGTATCGGATTACCTTTCTTGGCTCACTAGCTTACATTGAATCTGGTAGTCTGGATGTATGGACCGGACTGGCCTACAAGCGGAGAAATTGATATCATCGAGGGCGCCAACCAGGCTACAAAGAATATCCTCTCCGGACACACGTGAGTCTCGCACTCCTTCATGCCATATCTAGAAGTCGGGTTTAACACGATAAATCTAGTACATCAGGATGCCGTATCCCAGACTCCCCCGCAGCCGCCGGCCAACCTCTCCTCCTCGACTGTGAAAGCCCAGGTGTATGTAGTCTCCTCAGTGAAGAGACGGCCCCTTGCGTATTCATCATTTGGTGATGTGTGGCTGTGTGCTCTTTTGCTAACAAGACACCAAAAATTAGACCACCAACAACGCCGGCTGCAACTACCTTCCCCCCGCCTCGGACACACACACCTACGGAGACGCTTTCAACGCAGTCGGCGGCGGCGTCTACGCGCTCGAGTGGACCTCGGAGGCCATCAGTATCTGGCACTGGCCGAGGCAGAGCATCCCGGACGATATTGTTGCCAAGAACCCGGACCCGTCCGGCTGGGGCCTGCCATCTGCGCTGTTTGGGACGTCGTCGTGTGATGTAGACACATACTTTAAGGATATGAGTATTGTGATTCAGACGGTATGTTCTGCGCGAAGTTGCGTGAGTATATTACAAATCAAGCTGACTTTGGGACGTTCAGAACTTTTGCGGTGATTATGCTGCCAATATCTGGGGCAAGGACGGGGACACCTGTAATCAGCGGGCGCCGACGTGCGTCGAGTACGTGGCGAACAACCCTACCGCATTCGCAAACGCGTAAGTCATCGGACCTTTCTCACACATGCTCCCTGGAACCTCCCTGACGAGAAGCGGAAAACCAGATACTGGGAAGTCAACTACATCGACGTCTACGAACAAGGCCTCGCCACGAACACCACCGCCAGCCCGTCCGAGCCGACGACAACGACAACGGTCCAGACCACATCGACAATCTACACCACGGTACCGAACCCTGCCACTATCGTGACGAGTTTCACGCAAAACGGTACTGTCATCGTGTCCACCGCCACAATGCAGTCCTCCCAAGTCTCGTCCGTCGTCCTGTCCACCGTCGTGGGACCGACCGCCACCGCGCCGCCGAGCCCCTCGACGGACCCCGTAGTCCCAGGGCGCGAGCCGGCGACGATTGGGGAGTATGCGTATCTCGGCTGCTTCGGCTCCGGAACCGGGTTTCAGAGCTTCTTGCTCAAGGCCTCGGCGGCGGATATGACGCTCGGCAAGTGTATTGATCTCTGCAGACCTGGGAAATACGCCGGTGTCCGCGAAAGGTAACGTCCCGAACCCTCTTCTCAGATAAAACCTCTCTCACTAACACATCCCCTCCCAGCGAATGCTTCTGCGCAGACGACCTCGACCCAGACACCAGAGCAACAACAGACCGCGCCCTCTGCAACAGCCCCTGCCCAGGAAACAGCACCCAACTCTGCGGCGGCACCACAAGCACCCCAGCCACGAAGCCAAAGCGAGACACCCTCCCGCCGTCCTTCTCCTCAAACCCCCACCGCCGCCTCATGCACCTCCACCTCCACCGCCGCGCCGCGCCCTCAACCTACCTCTTGTCAGTCTACGCCCGTCTCACAGACGAAGTACCCCCCAACGCCCCGCCCCTGGGCGACCCGGAACCCCATACCCCATCCACATCGACGCTCGTCACGACGGTGACATACACCACCGTCTGCGCCACCGACGCGGCGCGCCTGACGCCCGCGGAGCACTGTACCACGATCCTGGTGCCGGGGTGCAACAAGTACTGCGGCGGTGACGGGATGCAGCCCGCGGCCGTGAGCGTGCCGATGACGACGACGGTGGCCTCGTGCGCCGGGTGTGGTGCCAACGGCGCGGACCGTGTGACGCTTACGGTGCCGTTTTTGGTGCTTGCGGTGCCGGGCACCGGGGCCGGGGCCGGGGCCGGAGCCGGGACGTCGACGGGGTATTGGCCCACTGGATCGGTGACTGGTGCGGCGGCGACGCCGCCCGCGACCGGGAGACCCACTCCGTCGATGGTGTCTGTTAGTGCAGGGGCGTCCGTGGCGGAGGTGAACTTTGGGTGGGCTGTTGGGTTGGGGGTCGCTATTGCGGTTGTACGATTCGCGTTGATGTTTTTCTGATGAAGTGGGGATTGTGGATTTGACGTCGAGGCGACGTGCGAATCGGTGGGCTGGTTCCCGGTGCATATTGGCGGCGCATTTGGTCTCTCTCTTTCTCACTTCTTTCTATCTTTCTGCTTGGTTTCTTTCGTTGATTTCCTCCACCACGTTCATTAGCATAGACATCGCCATGATACCACACCAGCGCAACGGGCGCATCGCCTTACTACATTATACGTAGTTCTTATAGGTACACAAAAACTTTATGATTCCAAGTCATTATCTTGCTCTTTATTTCATTACAAATCCACTACTTCCACCGGGTTCCCCAGCCGCCCCGTGTTGCCGTACATTTGCGCGGCGTTGACCATGAGACTGCTGGTGTTGCCGCCGGGCCCGACCATGAGCCACTTCCAGACGACGCCGTGTATGCCGTAGCCCAGGACGGCGAGAGCGTCCCGCCAGCCAGCGTGGGGGAAGAGGTCGCGGAAGAGGCCGCGGGGCGGGCGGGACATGAGGGCCTCGTAGGCGCGCTGGCAGTCGTCAAAGTGAACGGTCTGGCGGCCGTGGCCCCAGTGGACGTGGCCGAAGACGTGGAGTTTGGGGCGGACGCGCCAGACTTCTTGGAGCAGGGCTGGGCAGCCTAGGTTTAGGTCTAGGTGGGTTTTCTTGTGACTTGTGTTAGACGAGGAAGTTTTCGCAGGTGGAGAGGATGAGATGAAGTGAAAGGAAGTAATATGAGATGAGATGAGACTTACTGGTGGTGTGTGAGTGATCAAAACGTCAGTGTCAATTGGTACCGTGTTGGTCCAGGGCGGTGATGAACGATCATATTGGAAAGCCATTTCTGAACCGCCGCAGGTCGGGATATCAGGGGCACCATAGATCTTCAAGTGACGGCCACCCTTGAACTCCAGCGTGACGGCATCACGGATGAGATAGCGGATCCCCTTGAAATCGAGGCTCTTGCCGCGGTCCTCGGGCAGACGGGCGCTGGGATCGAAGAAACTGTCATGGTTGCCGCATACGAGGATCTTGTGCTGGTGAGGCTGAGCGGCGAGCCAGTCGAGCTGGGCCTGGATGTCGGCGACGGTGCCGGCGTTGGTGAGGTCGCCGGCGTGGATGAGGAGGTCCCCCGGGGGTATGTCAACGTCGGTGCGGTCGTGGGTGTCGGAGAGGCAGACGATGCGGATGGCGGGCTTGTCGCGGGGCGGGGTGAAGGGTCGACCGCGGAGGAAGAGGATTATGCTGTAGATGATTGTGACGAGGAGGTTTAGGGGTGAGAGAAGGATGGCGTCGATAAGGGTTAGGGGCTCCCAGTCGTTTTTGCGGCGGAGGCCGAGGGCTGTGAGGAGAGTCATTTGGAGAGTGTGTCCGCCGGTGTCCCTGGTCGTGGGGATATCGAGTGAAGGGACGCAGGGATTATACGACTTCCATGTGAGCTGCTGTGCGAGGTGAGTGAAATTGGTGATATGAATTGAGGTGAGATACGGTGTGGTGAGGTGAGGTGAAGTGGTGTTGAGGTTGGCCGGACGGATCTTCACATGGGGCAGAGGGAGCTCCAAGCAGCTGCCAAAGCTGAAACCCCACCGATGACAGCACCAGCCAGCACATGTGCAATCCAATGACAATCCACCCGTCAGAAGTCAATCAGTCAGTGCATGTCGCCATGTCCACAGTGGGGTGGGCCGGCCGGCACCTGGCATGGCGGCGGTTCAGCTATGCTGGGGGCCAGAGGAAGAGGGGAGTGGTGGAGGGGGAGGTGCCGGGGCAGCACGAGCCACGCACCACCATTGTCACTGCTACGATGCTACAAGCCCACCAAGTACAACACCACTGGACCTTTCCCAGCGACACGGCAGCGCCAATCCATGTTTGGCGTAGCGGTGGTGGGATCGACTGGTGGGCACCAGGTACTTCGTAGAGGCATTGAGGGGCTAGAGCTTGTTCCCTGAAAATGAGCTCCCCGGCCAAGTCGGGGCCCTGCGCGGTGACGTGACGGTTCCCTCAGTCCCGCCAGCCAGCCAAACGCCCAAGCTCCTCTCTCCTTCTGTTCATTAAAAAAACCTGCCAAGCGAGACATCGCCGTCATTACTTTCAGCCACTTGGCTAACATTCTCGCACTTGGCTTTAAGACCATCGCGAACCCTACCACCTTTTCTCTTGTCGTGATCCCGTCACTTTCGAGCATTTGGATAGCTCTCATATCTTGTCTCAAAGTGCATCCCATCTCTACAATCCAGATCTCCTAACCTGCACACATACCATCCGTGCTCGAGCTCCCGACGACTGATCTCTTGGGACGAACCCGCGGTCCGCAGCAGCAATGGCGACTCTTCGCGACCTTTACAGCGATGAGAAGACCAAGGGTCTAGACACCAACTTTGGCGTCGACTATGTCATCAACTACAAGATCCCGCAAGAGGGTGAGTCCCCCTTTGCCTATGTGCCTCACCATGAAAACTGACCCATTACTTCATTCAGACCGCGCCAGCGCCGAAGCTTCTTTCGTCCAGCTAATCGAAGCCTTGACCCATGTTGGCCTGACCACCGAGGTCCGGAGAGGCGACAAGAGCTCCGTCCTCGTCTTCATCAAGATCGCCGACAAGTTCCTCGCCGACCAAGTCTACCGATCCAGACTGCAAGACTGGCTACAGGGCGCTCGAACCAACACCGCAGACAAGGACCTCTCCCAGGCTCTCCGCGATGAGCCCGTCTCCGACGCCGAGCGCCTGCGCCTCGTCTACCTGCTCATGGTGAAGCCCAAGAACGAGGGCGGAGCCGGCATCACCCCCGAGTCCGGCAAGTGGAAGCACGTCGCCAGCATCTTCCCCCTCCACAACCACTCCTTCAACCGCCAGTGGATCAAGAGGGTGAGCACAAAGGGACAGACGGACGAGAACGACCTCGACGAGATTCGCGATAAGTTCGGCGAGAGCGTCGCCTTCTACTTTGCCTTTATGCAGACCTATTTCAAGTTCCTCGTCGTTCCCGCCGCCGCCGGCTTTGGTGCTTGGATGTTCCTTGGCCAGTTCTCCTGGCTCTATGCTCTCGTCAGTTGCCTGTGGTCCGTCATCTTCTTCGAGTTCTGGAAGCAGAGGGAAGTCGACCTCGCCGTACAGTGGGGCGTCCGCGGCGTCTCCAACATCCAGCACCCTCGCCCGCAATTCGAGTTCGAGCGCCAGGCCGAGGACCCCATCACCGGAGAGCCCGTCAAGATTTACTCGCCCATCAAGCGTCTGCAGACGCAACTTCTCCAGATCCCTTTCGCAGCAGCGTGCATCGTGGTGCTGGGCACTCTTATCGTCACCTGCAACTCGCTGGAAATCTTCATCAACGAGGTATACAATGGACCTTTCCAGTCCTACCTGGCCTTCCTCCCGACCGTCATTCTGGTGGTTATGACGCCTACTTTCTCTACCGTGCTCACCAAGTTCGCGACGAGACTGACTGAGATGGAAAACTACGAAACGATTGACGCACACCATGCGGCTTTGGTTCAGAAGGAGTTCGTTCTCAACTTCCTGACCTCTTACATGGCCCTGTTTTTCACCACCTTTGTCTACCTGCCCTTCGGCGACCATCTCACTCCTTACCTCGACTTCTGGCGGACAACTGCGCAGAAGATCACGCCCAAGGACGTCAACTTCCAGACTCAGGAGTTTTCCATCAACCCCGAGAGAATCAGCAAACAGATGTTCTACTTTACCGTCACCGCCCAGGTCGTCAACTTTGCCACCGAGGTCATTGTGCCGTACGTCAAGCGCCAGGTGTTCCAGGAGGTCAGAGAGGTGCAGTCCAAGATGTCCAAGGAGGACAGCGCTGCCAAGATCAAGGACCAGCCGGAAGAGGCTGCCTTCTTGGAGCGTGTGAGAAACGAAGCTGAGCTTGAGACCTACGATGTTACCGGAGACTACAGAGAGATGGTCATCCAGTTTGGTTACCTCTCTCTCTTCTCCGTGGCCTGGCCTTTGACAGCTTGCTGCTTCCTCGTCAACAACTGGGTCGAGATGAGGTCGGACGCTGTCAAGATCGCCATTAGCAGCAGACGGCCGATTCCGTGGCGCGCCGACTCCATCGGACCCTGGCTCAACGCCCTGGGCTTCTTGTCTTGGTTGGGTAGCATCACCAGCGCCTCAATTGTATTCCTGTGCAGATCCGCTGGCAAGGGCGATGGACCTCGTGGTACCCCTGGAAGCATTCAGGCATGGGGTCTCCTCCTCAGCATCCTCCTTTCGGAGCACTTCTACTTTGGCGCTCAATTCGTCGTTCGCCTCGTTATGAAGAAGCTGGATAGCCCCGGACTGCAGAGGGAGAAGAAGGAACGTTTCATGATGAAGAAGAGACTGCTCGAGGAGAACCTGGGCCAAGGCGTTTCGGACCAAGCTGCCACTCCGGGTATCGAGAAGACGGAGATGATCACCATGCAGGCTCTTGAGGATGAGGCCCGCAGGATCTCGACTCAGGGCCACGGAGGCGCCGAGGAGGCGTAAGTTGATGTTCTTGCCCTTGACTTTGAAGATTTAAACTGACGATGTGACAGATTCTGGCTTCGCCAACGCGGTATGGCCGAGACTATCCAGATTGGTCGCAATCTGATTTCTCAGGTAAGTCGCTGTATACTTTAACCGTCACTGCCACCTTCTGACGTGAGATCACCAGAGCATCTCCGGAAACACAACCAAGGCATAGAGGCCGTCATCAACAGTTGGTCAAAGGACGGGCTGGTGGATGAGAAACAAAATATACACACAACCCCTTATTGACGAGAATATGAGTTATGCCTGTTCTGGCGTGTATTGCTAGCGAATATGTTTAATTGGGGTCTTCCGAAAAGCTACGGGTTACTTGCTGTCTGTAATCGGGCGTTTGTTTCGGTCAAAATACGAGTTAGGCAACCCCTCTGGATGTTTGTCTCTTCGGTGAAGAAAAATGGAGCAAAAGCGATGCTGTCGTCGGTGGCCACAAAGGGTGACCGATGGAGAAGTTGAGATAAGGTATGTTGTCAGGGCTGTCTACCTTCCTGACCTTACTCAGTAATGCCTCATGATGAAAGGGCAGATGACCACTTAAAACAAACTGCGCACCGGGCAAGGCAGATCGGGAGGCTTACACAACTGGGCGTCGTTTTGTGCAATGATCCAAATGCTTGTTAGAGCCTCTTTCCTCTAAGAGGTTACGTCGATGGGCTTGTATTGAGCTGCGCCTCTGCGCTAGCTGTGCTGGACCTCGTGGCTGCAGCGTTCATCTGATGAGCCTACCATAGTACCTAGGTACCAATGCTACCTACCTCAAGTTCCTTGCTTATTCAGTCATAGTACGTACCGACGTTGTGGACTTGATCGCTTACAACCCCCTACCAAACGTCCCTCTTCCCTCAATACTTTACCAGCAAACTCCGTCACGCCCGCGACATTCCTTTCGCTTGAAAAACACCAATCGCGGGGCCAGCTTTAGGAATGTGCCACGCCGATGAAGCCAAACGGGTCTGCCTGGGGGGTTCTGAAGGCCAGCAGCGACAGCTTAGCAGCCCTACCTCGGATCCAAGACGCCAGAACGCCTCCTCCTCCACCTTTGGCGCTTCTCCTCCACCCCCCTCCTCCACGTTGGAACATGCAGCAGACATGTTGACACTCTTTTCATCGCCCGCCATGTCGATCTCCTCGCGGGACTAGCCTGATACCGGGGCGAGGTTCACCTGCATTCGCTTGCAAAGGTGGGCGCAACACCACCGCACCGCCTTGCCTGCTTGTCACTCAAGTCAACTTTCAAGACCTGAACTGGAACTGGAAGTGCGGAGGCGTTCCGAGAAGCAAGCCACGCCCGTTGGCTACCGGTACTCTTGTGTCCTTGCTCGCTCGCTCTATCTCTCGAGTGACAGATAGACGGACGGCCCAGAGGTACGCTTCGTGTCTCGGGAGAGAGAGCGGCCAGTCTGACATGCGGTGCGCCCTGCATCTGCCTACCTTGCCCGCCAGCCGCCCATCTCCAATCCCGTCCCGTCCTTGTGTGCCATACCTTGCCCATCTATCCTGCGGCCTGGAGCTGGCCCTGCTTTTGTGGTGGTGACTCTGAGCGAAGCCGACTAATTGATCTGCTCAGCTCAGCTTAGTAGTTTTCCTGCAGCCTTGTCCTATCCTAACCTGCCCTCCTCTTCGCATTTCCTCTCTCTTCTCCCTTCTCTTTTTCTCACATTTTCTGCCAAGATCTTTTCTCCAAAGTTTTGTGATTGTGAACCCTCAAAAACACTTGGCGATTGCGCAAATTCAGATCCAAGCTTACTATTCGGATGACCCTCTGCCAACTTCTCGCGCTGGCTTAGCCCATCGTGTACCTTTAACCAACCAGACCGACGACTCCA